TCAGACCTTGATAGAGTGGCCTGAACAGTCCAATCACATTCTTCCTCTTAAGAGGCATTTCTCCAACTACTGATGCTCTGCCTGGATTCATTCTTCAATAGTTATCTTGCTCTCACCTTTTTGCACTCCCATCTTCCCAGTGATTTTGAACCAATGGCAAGCAATGTACCAACTCTATTTTCCATCCACAATTTCCTATTTTCTTAATGCCATCTACCTCAAATCCCTCCCTTCAAAATCCCAATTCTATATCTCCCCATCCCTTCCCCTATGCTCTTGGGAACATGAGGTCCATAATTAATAAACTTCTTTTCATCTGAAACCTCTTTCTTTCTTACACCTTCTATCTTACTGGCACTCACTGATACCTGGCTCTTTTCTGAACTCCAGTGCCTCATCACCAACTGTCTTTTGTACAAATTCAATGAGATGTGTCATTATCATCTTAAATTCAACATGTCCAAAGCAAGACTCAGTATCTTTCCCCAAAATTCCTTCCCCTTCTAAATTGATGTCTGAATTACTTCTTGTCTGGACTATGTATATGAGTATGTATGTATATATGTACGCATGCATATATGCCTATATGCATGGATTGAATGAGTTATTTATATTTATTCAGTATTTTTATCACATTTATTTATCATTTGCTATGTTTTAAGCACTGTGCTAATGGCTGGATAGTCAATAGCAAAAAGGTAAAAAATTTCTAAACTGAAAGCTCTAACTTAAAAAAAAAAAAAACCACAACAACACCTTAATCTAACTTAAAGAACTTCAATCTAAGATAACTTAAATCTAAAGAACACAGATAGAAAGTTTAGCTGAAGAACAGATGGAAAGTGGTGAGATCTAAGTGTGCTGCCACTGGAAGATGAGCAAGGCCCAAGGATCCTTAGTTTACATGAGTAGGTTTGCTGACAATGCTAGCTTTCTGTCACGTATAGAAGCAGGTTAGACAATAAGAAGACCATAGGATGAAGTGTCAGGGTACATAGAAAGGCCTGGCAGTGTGCCATCTCACTGAAATGAATAGATTTGGTGACTCCCATATTATTCAAGCCATATGAACACTCGATCAACAGCAATAACCTTGCTATAATTAAATTTGTAATCCTCCAAATCTCTTATAACTCTTTTCAATGTTCTTATACTATCTTAATTTATACTCATGATACCATCCCAAGAAAATATTATCATATTTTAACATGACACTGACATTGAGGCAACATGAACAGATAAGCCTTGAACAAATGCAATACTAGACAAATCAGTTTTTAATTTGAGAGGAGTGGCAAATAAATATGAAAAACACCTGACATTTAGTTCATATGAAAAGGGATGAATGCCTTGGAGGACGGCACTTAGATACTGAGATGATGAGTAATACAGGGGACAGAGGGAGAATGGAGACACTCCTAAATGGTGGAGAGTTCTATCTGGAGAGAGACAGAGAGAGAGAGAGACAGAGACAGAGAGACAGAGAGAGAGACAGAGAGACAGAGAGACAGAAAGACAGAGACAGAGACAGAGGGGAGACAGAGAGACAGAGACAGAGAGGCAGAGACAGAGAGAGACAGAAGAAGAGAGGAGAGGAGATGAAAAACAGACAGAAACAACCAAACAGAAATAGAGAAGACAGAGGCAGAGGGAAGAAGGGAGAGAGAGGAGAGTGACAGAAAAAGAGATATAAAGAATTTATTAAAAGCTTTCTATGTGTCAGGAACTAGGCTAAGTATTGAAAATTCAAATATGTAAGCAATACAGTCTTTGCCCTCAAGGACGTTATGTACTAATGAGGAAGACAACAATGAAAAGAAAATCATATGGGAAAGGGGAAGGGACATATGCAACAGCATGGCCTATAAGTGACATAGGATCCTGCTTCCAGGAAAGATAAGACATATTTTACCTATCAGAATCTGGCATCTAAGGCACAGAGTTCAAGTTTCACCTAATGATAAATAGGGAGAGAGAGATGAGGATGACAGCCTGAAGGCTGGTGGGATGATGTGGAGGTTGGTATGGAAGACTGACCTTCAATGTGCAAAATAAAAATAAACATGCAAAAATGCATCATCATATAACAAAAAACTTCATGAAGGAGTACAGATGTAAGTTGAAATTAAAGAAATATAGGGGGTAGTTAGGTGGCTCAGTGGATAGAGCACTGGCCCTGAAGTCAGGAGGACCTGAGTTCAAATCTGTCCTCAGACCAAACACTTGACACTTACTAGCTGTGTGACCCTGGGCAAGTCACTTAACCCCAATTGCCTTAAAAAAACAAACAAACAAACAAACAAAATTAAA